CACATCTAGGACAGTGTCTATTTATTGAAATAAATCAATTGGTATTCCATAAATTCCTGGGACCTTGGTTTTTGTCAGTTCCTTCAGAGCAGCCTGAACTTCTCTTCACCATCATTGTCTCTTGAGCATATGTTGTTGTTGTTATGTGCGGTCGAGGTGCTTGCGACTCATAGCGAGCCTGTGTCCAACAGCCCTAAACTCTTCTTTGTCCTGTGCCAATCACACTGTCTCCGAACCCTCACTGAATCAATCCACCTCATAGAGGGCCTTCCCCTCCTGCTCTGTCCCGCTACCAAGCACGATGTCCCCCTCCAAGGACCTGTCCTTCCTTACAACATGTCCAAAGTATGTTAGATGAAGCCTCTGAATCCTTGCCTCCAAGGAGCCGTTCGGTTTAACCCTCTCTGGGATGAATCGGTTTGTTTTTCTAACAGTTCATGGTACCCTCAATACTCTTCTCCAGCACCACAGATCAAAGGCATTAATTCTCCTTCCTTAGTTATTGTCCAACTCTCTGATGCATAACAAGTGATTGAAAAGACCATGGCCTATATCAGACATACCTTAGTCTCCAGAGTGACACCATTGCTCTTCAGAACTCTAGAAAGATCCCTAACAGCAGACTTTCCTATGGTAATATGGCAATACGTCTTTCAATTTCCTGGCTACTGGTGCCAAGAGTGTCGACTGTGGAGCAAAGCAAAGTAAAGCTGTGAACAATCTCAATCTCTTCACCATCCATCCTGATGTTGCCAGTTGGTCCAGTGGTGAGAATCTTTGTCTTCCTGATATTAAAGCCTCAATCCCTATTGAAGGCTGCAGTCCTTGACCCTCTGCAGTAAGTGCTTCAGGTCCTGCTCAGTTTCAGCAAGCAGGGTTGTGCCATCTGCATAATGCACCTTGTTGATAGATCTTCCATCAATCCTGACCCCACATTTCTCCTCATAGAGCCCAACCTCCCAGATAATCTGTTCAGCAAACAGGTTGAAAAGGTATGGAGACAGGACACATCCCTGGTGTATGCTCTTCCCAATTTTGAACCATGCAGTGTTTCCTTGCTCTGTTCTGATGACTGCCTCTTGGTCCCAGTAGAGGTTTCACGTTAGCACGATCAAGTGTTATGGCATTCCCATTTTTCTCAGAGTTAGCCACAGTTTGCTATGATCCACACAGTCAAACACCTTTGCATAGTCAATGAAACATAGATATACATTCCTCTGGTATTCCCTGCTTTCAGTTAAGATTCATCTAACATTAGCTACAATATCCCTAGTACCACAATCCCTTCTCAATGCAGCCTGGACTTCCAGCAGTTCTCTGCTGATGTGCGGTTCCAGTCATTTTTGGATAATCGTCAGTAGAATCTTGCTTGAATATATAGTTTCCCAAAATTCTTCTATGTCAGCCAATTCTTTTTTGCTACAGTGACTCTGTATACTCCTTTCATCTTCTTTTAAAGTTTCCTGGATCATTCAATATTCTTCCCATAGTGTCCTTAAGTATTGTGACTTGAGACTTGAATTTGTTCTTCAGTTCCTTCAGCTTACGAAATGCTGAGCAAGTTCAGCTATTTTGATTTTCTACCACTAGCTCTTTGCACATTTCATTATAATACTTTGCTTTGTCTTTCCAAGCTGCCCTTTAAAATCTTCTGTTCAGCTCCTTAACATCAGTAAGACAAAGATTCTCACCACTGGGCCTATCGGCAGTACTATAATAAATGGAGAAGAGATTGAGATTGTTAATTATTTCAGCTTGCTCACATCCACAATCAACACCCCTGGCACTAGTAGTCAGGAAATCAAAAGAAAAGTACATTGGCGAAGTCTGCTGTCAGGGAACTCTCCAGAGTACTAAGGAGCAATGATGTCAGTCTAGAGACCAAGATGTGCCTGATTCAGGGCATAGTGTTCTTAGTTACTTGCTATGCATCTAATAGCTTGATAGTGACTAACGATGACAGAAGAAGAATCGATGCCTTTCAGTTGTGTGCTGGAGAAGAGTATTGAACATACTGTGACCTGCAAAGAGAACTAACAGGTCTGTCCCGGAGAGGGTAAAACCAGATTACTCTTTGGAGGCAAGGATTTTGAAACTCCGTCTCACATAGTTTGGGCATGTTACTGGGGGTGGGGTGGGTTGTCAATCATTGAAGAAAGACATCAAGCTTGTTAGGGTGCAGAAGAAGACGATCCTGGATAAGATGGATTGACACAGTAACTAGGGTAATGGAGGTAGGTGTGACACAGTCAGGGAGATTGGCTGAGTTGCAGGTGACTCGATGGCACACACAACAAATTGTTTTTGTTCCTAGATGTTGTAGAGCTGACTATGACTCATCTCAACCCCATGAATTAGAGCTGGAAACTTTGTTTGGTTTTTGCTCCGTGATAGCGATCTGTGCCATGCTCACACCAATTGCAGTCACTGTGTCAATTCATTTTTCTCTCTTTTGATGACACGTCACCTTTCCCAACATGTCTTTTTCTAAGGACTGGCTCTTCCTTAAGCCTTCTTTTTTATACTTTCACACTCCATAAATTTGTTGCTATAACTTCATCTTTCGTATGTTGCACTGCGTGAGGACCCTGCTCTGGTGGCTTAGTTGTGCTGTCAACCCAAAGGCATGTGGTTTTAAATCCATCAGCAGCTCCAGAGAAGACGAGCAATCTCCTCCTGTGATATTTACTGCTTCTCAATACTCGCTGGAGCGTCAGCTATGCGTCAGTTCTAACTTGAGAGCATGTAACAACCACCACCACCGCCGCCACCACAACAGCATAGTAAATAGAGCTAAAAGATTACCAGTATTTTTTTTAATGTACATTCATGACATCTAATGAAGCCACTGCGCTAGAATTGTGAGCTCTACATCAAGGTCTGTCTCTAATTAGCCTAATTAGGTGCGAACCTTTGGGTCTTGTGCTTGGCTCAAGATTGAACATTACCATGTAATACAGCTATTTTCTTCAGGACCCTATTAACCTGGTGCATCTATGATCTTGAATAAGTCAGATGAGTGGAATTTTTTACAGTGAAAATAAATACACTTGCCAGGGTCACCACAAGGATAAAGTCACAGAATACGTGCTTGTGCTTGAAAAAGTTCAAGTGATCAATGAAGGAATGGTTCTCTATGACCAGGGGCTGAGCATCTTTTCACAGGTAATGGTTTGTCCCTAGGTCAACAAAAGTATTATTTGTAAACGTGTGTGTGGCTGGAAGCAGTCAGAAGAGCCACTTGACACTGTTTGTAGTCCCCTCACAGGCATATGCTTCTGGTGGATCAGAACCATTAAAGTATCAATTTTGGCACTGGCAGCTTTAAAACAACTTATGATTCAGGATCTTCACAGAAGGTTTGTAAAAGATTAGCATTCCCAGTTGTACACCGTAATTCTGGATGTAGCTCTGCTGTTACAAAGGCTGAATTCTATCTGAGAGGGCAGTCCTGAACACCAAAGGGTGATTTTTAGTTGCTTCGTAAAATAGAGAAGTGTTCATCATAGGAAATGTTAAATAAATACATAAATGATATTCTAGAAGTGAACATAGACTGGGTGAAAAAGTTCCCCCCTCCCAGATGATTTTTGTAATTGCTGTTTTTAGGTCTTTGGGGACATATTTTAAAGGTCAAGTGTTAAATTTTCAGGGGGAAAAAATCTTTAATGAGTCGGGATAAAAACCATCTGGCACAGAGATTCTACCTTGAAATGGAGGAAGTTCAGAGCGGGAGAAGGAATTTCTCATCATCTTCCACTGGAGGTTCCAAATTGGAATCTTAACTCCTTTCTATTGCCTTTCTGACCATCCTGCTTATCCAAGAAATGAAGAAATAATGGGATCAAGAGATTGTAAGGTTTTTGTCCTGGAGGGAAAGAAAGTTAAAAATCTAAGCTCTGGAGTAAGAAAGCTGTGTTCTTTCATGGGGCTAAATAGACAAGGTGTCATAAGAGTGGCATAAGAGTGAGGAAGCCACCTGGAGGAGGTAGGATCAGGCCCAAGGAAGACTGTCCTCTCTCCACTGACAAGCTCGCCTAAGTGACACTTCCTTGTGTCCCAGGAAGTGACGACCAGCCTCTGTAGGCTTTGTGACTCGAGGGTCTCACTCACTTTGTGGGTGCTTCAGAGCAAGTCGTGTGATCTCCACCCGTGCCTCTGTGGGTGCCATTCGGGCCACCTTCGCAAGCTGCCGGGGCTGAGGCGTCTGCTAGCAGTTGTACCCTTTGCACAGCCATGAGCGTGACCCTGAACCCAACGACTTCCTGGAGAAGGGGACTGCAAAAGGGCTTAGACAAGTCAGATGTTGGAGATGGAGAATTTAAGAAAGGGCCGAATCCCGAGGTCGGAGAGAGGGAGGCGTAGCATCCAACATTCAAATCTTTCCCAACGAAACGGGGCAAAAAGCCACTTCTCTGCAACAACTCCCACGCACCCAAACCCCTGCACAACCCAAACACAGATAAAAAGAAAAGCATCAAAGGCTCCCAGCCAACCGTAAACTCTGAGAATGGGGCGAGGAACAAAAATAAAGCCGGGGACGCGCGGGCCTGAGCGCAGCAGGGGGAGGAGGAGGCGGCCCCGCATCCCTAATGAGGGAATGAATGGAGAGGCCCCTCGGCTGGCGCCCGCCCACCCAGCGGCGGCCGCCAAGGACCTCGGGGTGCA